GAATACCAGAAACCAATCTTGCTGTCATATATACAATAAGCTAACTACAACAACATAAACACATGTGCACACCATGATGCGCCTGTCAGCATTATGTTGTTTTTTCAATGAGAGCCAAAAGCAGATAGGTCCATACAGCAATGTAGGTGCAGTGAACGTGCTTGCATGCAGATGATCCCAAACCATAGTTAATTTCTGGGTAGCCTCTAGTTAGAATTCCAATCAGTGACATTTCAGGCTGTCAGATTGGGGCGACCGACGGCTTTCAAAGACTTCCAGACCAGTAGGGTAGCCCAACCTGGGTGGCGGATGTTTCAGGTATAAACTGGATATTACTGTATATCTTGCGGGACACCCCTCACGGCATCCCTTTATCCCTTAATTGCGGAAGGACACCATCGCGGCATCCCTGATTTGTGGGGAGGACACCATCACGGCATCCCTTAGTTGTGGGAGGACACCATCACGGCATCCATCCAACAACCATATGTACGTACCATACACACTTCTTGTTGGCCACCAAAATTAAAACCTTGAGACCGGTCATCCGACAAGGGTATGCTTTACGATTCTTGGGATATGTCCCCGAGAAAAAAAAAATCTATGCTTGTTCCAAAGAGCTTTCAAGGTCGACTTTGGCTGGGCTGAAGATATGTTCGGGTAAGAGAGCTGATCCATGGCATCCATTTAAAGTTATTATTATTATTGTTTTAAACAGATTTTGACACCATCACTGCGTCTCGCTCTTTCTGAGGCAACCCACGCCCTTGGCTGGCCTCGACCTAAAGATGCCGCGACGGTGTCTCATCATGAGCACAAGATGCCGCGAAGGTGTCTCATGCGTCTCATGAGCATGCCGTGATGGTGTGCGTGTGTGCAATGATGATGCCGTGAAGGTGTCACACGAGCATGCCGTGATGGTGTGCGTGCAATGTTGATGCCGTGAAGGTGTCACACGAGCATGCCGTGATGGTGTGCGTGCAATCTGATGCCGTGAAGGTGTCACATGATGGCGCGCTAAGGCGATGGCCATGAAGAAACTTGAACTTGAACAACACCGAGAACCGAAGAAGGCCCTGGCCTCGGACGCACACAAGCGGACACACAAAAGATGCAAGCTCATGCAAAGAAAAAACCATGCAAAAAAAGCTCAAGCATGTGAAAGTGAATGAAGTCATCCGGGCAGCCGCCTTTTTGCCCATTAGGCGGCTTTTGTGAGGGTAACTGCGGCTTTGTGTTTGCCAAAAGCATTTACCCAAAGTTTGCCCAAAAGGCGGTTTTTGTGAGGGTAACTGCGGCCTTGTGTTTGCCAAAAGCATTTACCCAAAGTCGCCTTGCATTGACACCAAGTTGGCTAAAAGTTTGACACCTAAGGCGTACTGTGCGCCGATTCCAGCTTGGATGCGCAGATTCCAATACTTAGCTCACCGTAGCTTTTGCGGGGGTACTTGCAACCTTATTTTAGGACATCTCACATGTAACCCCAAGTGTGCACATCCAAGCACAAGGCCCTGATGGCCGATTCCGAAGGACCCCTGCTGTGGGTGCCCTCACATCCAAGGCCTTGATGGCCGATTCATGCCCTCACAGAGGCCCTCACATCCAAGATCATCTTGATCATCCATTGGTAAGCGCCAGAATCGGTGCTGGTGGCTCCGAAGCTCCCAGCGGCCCACGGCAAATCACCATCCAGCGCACTTGGCCCTCGTCCGTACAACGCCAGACCTTAAACAAGATTGGTCGGACGTCCAAAAAGGGGGAAAAAAGTACAGGATATGATTTTGGGACCTTTTATGGGATCTTTGGGGAATAAAAAATGCAGGATCAAGAAACACTGGGATGTACTCGCCGAAACTGCAAATCGTGGAGCCTAATGCCCCTGCAGCATGCGAAGCCATCAAGGCTTATGTAGCCCGTGGATTTACGCCAGTGACCGCAGCCATCGAAAGCTACCCTTTTGGTCCTTGGCCGGGTGCACATACGACGACACCATCATCGTATTAGAGTTTCAACATTGCACACCATGACCGCGTGCACCTACGACACCATCACGGCATCGTAGGTTGAACATTGCACATCATCACACATGCGACGCCATCACGGCATCGTATTAGAGTTTCAACATTGCACACCATAACCGCGTGCACATACGACACCATCACGGCATCGTAGATTGAACATTGCACACCATCACGGCGTGCACATGCCACACCATCACAGCATCGTATTAGAGTTTCAACATTGCACACCATGACCGCGTGCACAAACGACACCATCACGGCATCGTTGAGACACCATCACGGAGTCTAAGACACATTAATAATTTGCCGAGGGGCTTGGCGGTTCTTCTCATGAAGTAGATGTTGTTGCTCCCTGGTTCCAAGAAGATCCACTCATGATAGCGGTTGGTACCGCCATGAAGGTACTTGAATTGAAAGCACCTGTCCATGATTTGCTGTGCTTCCTGAGAAGGTGCCGGGGGCATCTCAGTGGGAAGCTGCATCCTCTGGATAAGTGCCATGGCCGGAATCAAGGGCAGTGACCAAGTGACCTAAATGACCTATATAAGTGACTCAAGTGAGTGACCTAAGTGACCTAAGTAGTCTAAGTGACCTAAGTAAGTGACCTAAGTGACCTAAGTGATCTAAGTGACCTAAGTGACCTAAGTGACCTAAGTGACCTAAGTGACCTAAATGACCTAAGTGACCTAAGTGACCTAGGTGACTGAATGTTTTTTTCGGGTGATTTACTGTAATAAGTCCCGAGATGCTGTGAAAGTGCTTGGATGGCAGGCTTGATATGTCACGGCACGGCCGAATATGGCTTCTCATATAATGGTACTTTTACTCAATGTGTTTCTCCGTTGCGTTTCACTGTTGTGCTTTTGACACTGAGCCTCAAGCTGATTGACATGTTTGCGTCCAGTCGAAGAGTAGAACCATGGGAAAGCGCCTCGGCCAAGCGCACTCATTGCCGGGCAAATGCTGGTCTCGCTGGCTAAAATATTTCGGACAGAATGCGCCAAGGAAGTATTACTACATCATGGTGCTGATCGAGGCCTTGTGTTGTCGAGTGACACAAGTGTGTCAGCTGAAGTTCGAAGACTTTGACATGCGCGGAAAACGTGTCTGGCTTAAAGCGTTTAAGCGACACAGGGGCGTATGGAAGCCACTAGTGCCATCGATTGTGAAGGAGTTGAAAGAGTGGCGAGCCAAGGAATGGAAATGGCCTTCCCATGGGTACATTTTCCCTTCACAACGCGGCTCAACGAAAGGCCACATTTCAAAAGATATTGTGGCGCGCCATGTGAAAAAACATGGGGATACCTTTCTTCACAAATTTGGCGACACCATGCCCGAGCTGATCAATGGAAAAAACATTCGGACCCACAGTGGAAGACGCCATGCAATCAGCGAACTAGCTGCTGCTGGCATTCATCAACAAGTGGGGATGACATGGGCACAGATTGACTCTGCCCGGGTATACCAAGGATACATAGACCTAGACCCAGCTCAGGTCTACTCCGCTATCGTGAAGTATGACAAGCGGAAAAAATCCAGAAAGTAGATGCAAAAGCGATTCACGTGAATTCAAAGGCGCAAACGTTTCACTTGAACTCACTCAAAAGCTGGGCATGAAAAGGGACATTGCCTGTCTTAGGACACCATCTCGGCATCCATTATTGGTCCATAAGTGGTTAGACACCATCACGGTGTCATTTTCTAGGACACCATCTCGGCATCCACGTGATTAAGCCGTTACAACATGTTGCAACCTGTACTTCCCTTCTTGTCATGTTTGTTGATGCTTTAATGTGACACTGTGCTGGCAATGGTTGGAGAAATGGACTCAAACTCACTGCGCTGGACTCAGGTCCGAACTTCCAAGTTGATGAGGTCCCAGCCTTGGGGCGTTGAAGATTGAAAGGATGCCGAGATGGTGTCCTAGAAAGCCAACTAAGTGGGAATGAACAAGGACAAGCGGTCAATGTGTTCCCAAATGTTTCGACGCTGCAAAGATTTCATTTGGGATTGTGTTTGTGGTTATTAGCGCTGTCACATTAAGTGGTTAGACACCATCACGGCGTCATTTTCTAGGACACCATCTCGGCATCCACGTGATTAAGCCGTTACAATGTGACACTGTGCTGGCAATGGTTGGAGAAATGGACTCAAACTCCCTGCGCTGGACTCAGGTCCGAACTTCCAAGTTGATGAGGTCCCAGCCTTGGGGCGTTGAAGAATTGAAAGGATGCCGAGATGGTGTCCTTCTAGATGCAATGATTGATCTAAATGGATGCCGAGATGGTGTCCTAGAACGTCAAAGACGCCGTGATGGTGTCTGCATTTTCTCTCGGTCTGGCAATGTCTCACATCGCTGCGCTCAGTCGATGATCGATTTTCTGATGCGTCTCCTGAATTTTCAGGCCAGTTGATTTTCTGGACGACGCTCAGTAATGAAATTAATCCGTCTCCTGAGAGACATCAACCCGCTGGGACAGCAGGCACCCCTACTACAACAGCAGGGAAAGCAATTCAAGGATTCAGGAATGGCACGGTTGGCCACCCCCCAAAATTACTGTCACCTTGTATCCATGAAAGATGTGGAAAAAGCCAGAACCATGTGAGGCACGTCGCTGTAGTTTCAAATCAAAAGGTTGAATTGAGAATTACTTGAACACAAAATTTGCCTACTGTAGTTCCAAAATCAAAAACTTGACAATTTTTCCAAGTTAGCGAAATACCTCGAGCCACGTAACGTGGGATTAAGGATTCTACAGCCGGCTTATCCCAGAATCAGGGATGTTCGCATACCCACAAGTCTTTTGACACGATTCGATGCGAACCAAGATGTAATCAAAAACAAAATTGAAAGCTGCAATCTCGGATATCTGCATGCATTTCATTCAAGTCTTTTGAAATCCAATACAGTTCCATTCTCTTTGACTTGCGCCATCTGCCGACTGTCAATGATAAGGCTACTTCTCCAGCCGACCGGATTCACTCTTCGGCCTCGTCGGCCATATCATCGTCATCATCGTCGTCCTGGATCAGGCCTCCCTGGGTCAGCTTCTTCAGCTTGTTCATGATCTCTTCCTTCTTGGAGCTTTCCTCTGATGTCTTTTGCTTCTTGGAACCATCAGATCCATCATCCTCTCCGGCTGCACGCTTTTTGCTCTTTGACTTGCCAGCAGCCTTACCACCAGCAGCCTTGCCACCAGCCTTGCCACCAGCCTTGCTGCCAGCCTTGCCACCGCCCTTGCCCTTTCCTCTTCCGCCCTTTCCTCTTCCGCTTGCACTTGGCTGAACGGTGTTGCCACTGCCACCACTGCTACCAAGAGGAAGGGGCGTGCTCGCATTGGGATTGCCACCAAGAGCTTTGAGGAGGGTCTGCCTCAAATGACATCACAACGATTCACGCATGGCCTGTATTTGGAATGATTGAATTATCCGCTTCTTCAAAATAGTTTCTAGGTGTTATGAAATGTGCATGTGTACATATATATATATAACATATATATATATACATGTATATATATACATAATATATATATATATATTTACACATATATATTAATATACATATATATATATATACATATACAAATTATATATATATATATTTATTTATTTATTATTATTCCACTTGTGTCCCAGGCACACTTCAACATTGTAGAGCGGAGAGGATTGGTCCTTGAATTGCTCCCAAACGAAGCGGACAAGGAGCTTCCTCAGCTGCTGGGCATGATACTCTGTGAAGGTAACACCAATGTACGACTTCTTGGCCAAGATTGCCGCCTCAGCGCCCTTGCCATCGATCTCAGTTCCATTCACCATCACGCTGGCTTGAAAGGAGTGCAGCAACTCTGCGAACACCGCCTGTGGCATCACATGGTAGTTCACTGGAATACGATCTTCCCCCAAATCTGGACGATCTGGGCCATCAGGCAGCGCTCCTCCGGACAAGACTCTTCCAGCAGGTCCATAGATCTTATCCTTCTCTTCCTTGCTAATGAGCCAAAAGCCTTGCTCCTCATCAAAAGGAAGAATCTTCACAGGACCAATTGCCGTGCTCAAGCTCATGCCGGAGAAGATCTTGCGAGGGATGTCCTGCACCAACACGGGCCCAGAGGTGACAATGTGAATTCCCTCATGGGTCGGAATGAGGCCTCGCACCAAGCACCTGCGAGCTCGGATGGACTGCTCGCAGTAATGAATAATCATCTCCTGCCTCTGCTTCTTTTCCCAATGCTGCCCATGGTCCTCGGCATTTGTAATCTTCACACACGCACTGAGAACCATAGGAGCAAGTTGGCGTCCACCATCGAAAAAGATCACCAAGTCGCCCTCTCGTGGCTGTGGTCCACCTCTGCCTCGGACGAATGAGGAGCAAATCTTCTGAAAATGCTCACGGCGAAACTGAGGCCGTCGAATGTGACACTGGGCCGTCGCCTCTCCTGCAACCTTGGAGTCATAGACAAAGATCGCCCTTTTGGCCCCGGTGAGAGACACGCAGTTTTCCATGATCTGGCCCATTGCCTGCACTGAGTCTTGCTCGACCACCAATTTGACAAATTGATCTACGATCTCCTCAGCCTGCTTGGCGAAAGCCATCAGCTGCTGCGCTTTCTCATCTTCATGGTCCAGCTCCAAAGACATTCGGGGCAACAGGTCATGCACGATGACATTCTTCTGGGCTGAAGAATCTTCATCTGACTCATCTTCATTTGCTTCTTTTTCCTCTGCCGCCTTCACCTTCTCAATCTCTTCATGGATAGTTTCCATCATTGTCTTGAAAGGGTCATGGCATAGGATGTCCGCAGGCAAGGTTGACCCCTTCAAGGTGTTGCGAAGCTGGCTGTCATGCCCAGATCGAAAGACGACATTCTTGAGCATGTTGATGATCAAGCGTTCGGCTTCTGTCAGCTGGCCCAGCCATGTCAAGTCAGCCCCATCCTCGAACCTGCGCAATGCAAAGCGAGATGAACATGGGAAAAAAAAGGAAATATAAAAAGGGATTGAAGGAAATCAAACATCAACAACGTGCAAAGGAAATCAAATACAACCACCCGTCAATAGAAAAAGAATCTGAACTCTTCCGAACAACCTTTTTCGCACTTCACTGTGAGAGATCATCACCTTCTTGATGCCGTTGGCATGTGCGGGCTTCAATCCCCATTTCTGTGACTCTTCCAACACGTACTCAAAAATGCTCTTCTTGGCCAAGAACTCATCCAGGAGCCCTCTGGTCCCTCCTCCAGTGCGGCCGCCTTTCAATGTTCGGCTACTGAAGCATTTGTTGTTGGATTCTCCACGGATCAAGAGATCTTCCATGCTTTCCAAGATCCACAGGAGATCCTCGGACTTCTTGGTCTTGATGCAAATCCCTTCAAGTACGGCCATGTGCTGGAAGCAGCTTTGCTTTCCGTACTTCTGCTCCAAACGAAAGACCACGTCGAAGAGCTTGTCCACGGAAAGAATTCTTTCAAAGACCTTCATGGCGCTGTCGACAAACTCGAAAGCTGTCTTTGGGCAGTCTTCGTCATCAGGCAGGTCACAGCTCTTTCGGACCCACAGATCAGCCAAATCAGATCTCGACAGCTGGGCCGTATGCGTCTCCTAATAAGATGCTTTGACCGCTGCGATCTCGAAGATGGTTTGCAAGGTGCTTCTCGCCGCACTCTCGTAGGTGGACATGTACCGCTGTCGGTACGTCAGAGAGCGGAAGAAGGCATCTTCTTTGGTCTCAATCATCTCACAGCGGAGGCTCACTGAGAGGAACACTGTTCGCCATGCCCTCAGTTGGCATGGTGGTCAGGATTCATCAAAGATTGAGTTGAATGAACTAGACTTTTCCATTCAGCATCATGAGAATCAAACAACTTCACTTCAAAATTCAGAGGCACCGTCACGGCGCCAGATATTCACAAAGCACAAAAGAAGATAGCCAAGTCACAGAAGCTCTTCCTGGGAGGCACCGTCTCCGATCCTCTTAGCCACGTGCATGATCAAGGCGTGGTCGATTTCCTCCGGCGAAATCCGTTGCAAGGCACCTTTCAGGCTCTCAAAGCGCTCAGAGGTGACCATTGAGGTTACGCCTACCACGATTTCCAAGGTCAACTTCTCCGGCCCTTTCTCAAAAAAAGACTTCTGGATTTTCTTCAATGAGGCAGAATTGATGGGAACGGTCGGCGAACACATCTGCCTCACATTCATCCAAAAAAGGTTGCCCTGCGATACATAGGTCTTGGCTGACTTCATCGCGGCATCATACTCTTGGTCATTCCAAGGTGCCTGCCAAAAGGCGGGCACAACCAGTTGATTGTCAAATAATTAAGTTGGCGTTACTGCATTCTTGGCATCGAAGCGTTGTTTTGGACACCATCACGGCATCCCATTGGTGTTTCCGACACCATCACAGCATCGAAGCGTTGTTTTGGACACCATCACGGCATCCCCTTGGTTTTTCCGGCACCATCACGGCATCCCATTGGTTTTTCCGACACCATCACGGCATCGAAGCGTTTTGGACACCATCACGGCATCCCATTGGTTTTTCCGACACCATCACGGCATCCCATTGGTTTTTCCGACACCATCACGGCATCGAAGCGTTTTGGACACCATCACGGCATCCCATTGGTTTTTCCGACACCATCACGGCATCGAAGCGATGTTTTGGACATCATCATGGCATCCTTCTGAATGACTACATCTTAAGACGGGAATACCATCACCAGACATACAACTTGCATTTCCAAGCACATACTAATTTATTAATAAATTAACATGTGAAAGTACATAGTAATAAAATGCAAAAAAAAAACGCACACCATGCGCCAGAAAAATATGGCCATCGCGGATCGTGCGCGGATCGTGCGCGGATCGTGCGCGCATCGTGCGCGGATCGTGCGCGGATCGTGCGCGGATCGTGCGCGGATCGTGCGCGGATCGTGCGCGTCCAGGGTTGTTGAGAACTTGGCTTTGTCAGGGCACAAAAATGAACTAGGTCCAAATTGTGGGGGAATGTCCAGAGGCTACGGTAAACCTACCCTCCTTCCTCAACATACCTGTACGTACAGGGTTGTTGAGGGAGTAGGGTAAGGTAAGGTCACGACCATGCTGAGAACTTAGGGTAAAATTACCCAACCATGTCAGATATAGTGGCAGGATGTATTACCCTAACCTCTCAACAACCCTGTACGTACAGGTATGTTGAGGAAGGAGGGTAAATTTACCCTACCTTCTCGTACAGTAGGGTTGTGGACATCATGAGATTGGAGGGTCTGTAAGATACGTATTATGTTCTCAACAACCCTGGACGCGCACGATCCGTGCACGATCCGCGCACGATCCGTGCACGATCCGCGCACGATCCGCGCACGATCCGTGCACGATCCGCGCACGATCCGTGCACGATCCGCGCACGATCCGCGCACGATCCGTGCACGATCCGCGCACGATCCGCACACGATCCGAGCATGTCCCTTATCTGATGGGTTATCATGAAAGATCACACGCAATAACTCAAATTAAACTGGATAGACATGAAAGATCACACGCTAATCCCGCCTGTGACCCCGCTTCGTTCTGCTCCGCTGCACTGTCAATCGCCTGCGGCGGCATTGACTGCACCGCGTCGAAGATTGGGTGGGACAGCAACACGTTCATGCAATCCTCCAAGGCTTGCAGATGCTTCGCATTTACGGTCTGCACCGAAGCGGCCATCGCTTGTCACGATGCGATGCGAAGGGGATCGAGGATATCGAGGGAGTCAGTCGGGCTTGGGTGATTTCAAGCAAAAAATGCTTCGGAAGGGCCAGAAAAAATCATGACCAAGCCATGAGCCATGACATGCCAGGTAATTCAGAAACTATGTAAATAATTCAGAAAAAATCATGACAAGCCAGTCGCGATTGAGCCACCCGACCGTTCACAAGGAGCCAGGAGTCAACCTCAGGCCAACCGGGAAAGAATCACTGATTCATGAAGATGAAAAATTAACGATGATCAAAACATGTAAAATGAAAGGAAAGTTGAAAAATATCATGAACTGTTGATCGTATTGAAAAGCATTGATCAACTAGGAAAAAATAATGACAAGAACATGAAACAATGAAAAAATAATTTAAATTATATGTATTATATGTATGTACTATGTATCTATGTATGTATGGAGCATGACCTGGATAATATACGGATATCAGATACTGATGAAAACAAAATGAAAAGAAAATGAAAAAAATGAAAAATATCTCTCGAATCATCTCCCGAATGGGAAGGGCTGTTTTTTCCAGGGGAAGCCCATGATTTCAAGGCTAGTTTGGGCTATCCATCAGGGTATCAGGGTATCTCCGAGGTTCTGAGGTCGTGGCCTCAATGGGAAAGCGTGGCCTCCGGGGAGGGTCGTGGCCTCCGTGGCGCGACAGGGCCACGACGGGGAAGATACAACGGGGGAGACACAACAGGGCCAAACGCAAACTGAGTCGTGCTAACAAGCTAAGTTGCAATTGCAACATTTTTCTCACTTTTTTAACATAAAGTTTGCGAAGTTTCAGGATGGTTTTCATCCGATTCCGATTTTTTTTGAACATCTTAAGACGATGGTCAATTCCATGAAGTTTCAGGATGGTGTTCATCCATTCCAAAATGTTTTGAACATCTTAAGACGATGGACAGGTGACAATGGTCATTTACCACTGTTCAATTCCTGGTGATTCCTCACCATTTCAACTTCTGAGTCTGGGTAAATGTTGGTTTGTCACTAACCTGAAAATGAGATTGAGGTCGCAGTGAGGTTGCTATTGATTTGCTATTGAGTTGCAGTGAGGTTTTACCCAGACGCTAAATTAGAAGCTGCTGTCATTGAAATTGCCGCCACCCACACTTCTTCCAAACAAAGAGCTCCACGGATTCAAAAGTTGCTTCCCTTCGAAATTCGTCCAGCTCATGGGACTCAATCTGCACATACTTCAAAGCCTGGAACCTTTGGAGTCTAGCTGCTTAAGAAAACCAATTTATCAAACATTTGCAGTTGGTGGGTGGGCTGCCATCAAAATAGAAATTCATTTTTTGGCAGTGACAACATACTCAAGAATAAGACGAGGAGCAAGTGCCATGTCAGTGCAGTGACAAGATGACGGTGACGGGTGTAGGCTGTGAACCCTTCCATGAAAGTTCCATCTGAGAAGGCTGTTGGAAAGGGCTCACCTCTATATGTCACTCTCTTGACCAATGCCCAAAGACAGTGACCAACATCTGGAAGTTCATCTTGACCAAGATGTGCACTTCCGTGATAGGTTTTAAATTGACCTATCTGAAAGAAGTCTTCCGTCTCCTTGTAGATGTCAAGTCGGTCGAGGTGATCCATGTATCTCCTTGCCCTTTTCATGTGGTACAGGCTGTAGGAAGGTAAAGGGGTCTTGTTCAACCGACCTGGGATCAAACAAGCCGGAGACAAAACACAAAACAAAACACAAAACAAAACAAAGCAAAACCAAACAAAGCAAAACCAAACAAAACAAAATAAAACCAAGCATCACTCCTTGCATCCACATGCCCAACCGTCCAATGACCACTGCCGTTCTCTCCATTGCGCGGATCCCCACATGTTTGATGGCAATGTCCTGTTGCAGACTGGGCAGTCCATGGCTGGGCCAAAGAAAGAAAGGATCTGGGCTGGGACGGGATGACGGAATGCCAAAGCGGCTGCAGATGTGAAATAACAAAGTTGACAGATCTGGGCAAATGGAAACAACTTTGATGCTACAGCGGTGAAATGATGTCCAATATTTCACAGCCTCAAACCATGATCACAGTCAGTGTTGATGTTTGGAATCCTGCCATGAAAGAACCGCAGAGTTGTAAAACTTTTACACATACAGTTTCAATTTGAAGGCCAATTAATGATAAGTCTGAAGGCCAGCTGCACTTTGTTCAAGACACCCTCACGGCATCTAACTTTGTTCAAGACACCCTCACGGCATCTAAGTTTGTTCAAGACACCCTTACGGCATCTAAGTTTGTTCAAGACACCCTTACGGCATCTAACTTTGTTCAAGACACCCTCACGGCATCTAACTTTGTTCAAGACACCCTCACGGCACCTAACTTTGTTCAAGACACCCTCACGGCATCTAACTTTGTTGAAGACACCATCACTGCATCTGACTTTACAGCACCCCGTTGAGCAATTCCATCCTTGGGCCCTGACCCAGCCATCCGTACTGTGCCAGCAGCACCTAAGGGGCAAGCGTTAGTTCCATCTGAGAAAAGGATTGAGCGACTGATCCAGCACAGCAGGTGGAAGTCCAGCCATGCAGCAACGCCACTTTTTCCCTGCTACCCCGGTAAGCAAATCAGAAGCCGCGATTGCAGCAATGAACCCTGCTCACAAACTTGAGAAATGTTTTGCTGGACATCAGATTGTCTTCCTGCATGTTAGCAGCTATTTGCGGAATGGTCAGCCCCAGCACAGCCCACTTGCGGCCAGCTTGCTGGCTCTTAGCAGATGCTTCAGCGAAGGCTTCCCAACCTCCATCAATCATCTTCCACTTCGATCTCTCCTGGCCTGCTGCTGCTTGAATAATTTCACTGGCTTCCGTGTTCGCAGCACGAAAGCTAGGGCACAAGAAAATCTGCCGCTTGATTGCGTACGCCGCATCATAGAGGAAGGCAATTCCTGTTGTTGCCTTATCATGACGGTTTTCAATGATGCCCCGCATGCATGCCAGGTCCAGAACACAACCTCCTCGCACAGAGGCTGCCCAAAGAACTTGTGAAGGCGGTTTCTCCGGGTTGGCCACAACGAAAAACAAAGGCAGCTGCAAGTCCTGGGTCACCTTGCACCTGAAAAATTCAGGGTTCTGGCTCCACTCTGCCATCTCCAGGAAGATCCAGTGGTTCCGCCGATCAAACTGTGGCGGGGATGGGGCCAACAAGGCTTGGAATTTTGAAACTCCCCGTACTCTGGTGGCATCTCTGCGAGTCTCCAATTCAACAAATGCTTGAGCCACATCAACCATCCCATCTGGCACTTCCTTGGCTGTCAAGTGACCACTTAAGTACGATTGGATTGTGTTCTTGAACTGCTTGTTTCTCTGAAATGTCAATTCTGCCTGGACACGCTGACAATCTGCTGGCAGATTCGCACTTGCTTCGAGCCGTACTTCATCATGAGGCAAAAGTTTGACCGGTCCATCCAAACGGCGTCTTTTGGCCAAGAAATCAGCTTCAGAACCCTTCTTGTGCCCTCGTTTGGTACCCAAATCAAGTCTGGATGTTGATCCTTTCCTGGGTTCACCATACCATTCGATCCACAGCTGCTGGGCCATCTCAATGCAGTCAGTGGAAGTGGCCGGGGCGAAGTCGAACATAAATTTCAACTCCAAATTTTTGTTTTCTTCAGTCAGCAATGATCTTTCAGCAGACACAATGCGCACCATCTTCGAAAAGTGCTGCTCCACTCCGGATGTGGTGCATCCATCTAGAGCACCAAAGTGAATGAGAATCCAGTGCAAGTTTGAAGATGGATGGCGAGCTGCTGTTGACTTGCGAGAGCTAGTTTTCTGGACTGCGTATTTCCAAGATTCGAAGCTGCTGCAGTTGGGATTGGTCGAATGGTGATGAAAAGCTATAGCTTTGTGATCCCAGTACTCATCAATGAAGGAATCAGCCGACGCCTCGAACAGTTGGCACAATCTTTCCGAAGAAGTGTGCAACGACTGTATGTAGTCCACGGATTCCTCCCTGTTTGTCCGGGCTACTTCGGATACATCGAAGATTTTCAGGGCGGTCAGAATCTCATATGCAGGAAACTCCGACGCAATCACTTCTGTGCTCAGCCCAACCAGTTTCTTCATAGAAGCAAAGCACCGGGCGATCATGGCTGGAGAAACTTTGTTCGGACCACCCAGAGTCTTCGACTTGCCATCCACATCGAAAGCCTGCAAACATCGAAGGCCAGGGCAGAGGAAACAACAACGGGGGGAAACACAACGCGAAACCAAAAAAGGCACACAGGCACACGTTTAAAAACAGTTCTTTTGGCACTAAACAGGTAAGCATAAAAGCATTGGCATAAGCACTAAAATGATTTTGCCCAGTGACGATTGGGGTTTTCAAGCTCTCCAGCGCAAACATGGTATACCCAGATCTAGTCGCATGCTCATCAATGAAAAGATGCTTCACCCGACTTGCAAATACATCGAGTTCGATGTTGTGCGTGGCAACATCGCCAGCTTCTGAATCCATGAGTCGGATGATGCTTGTCGCTTCATCAGTGAAGTCAGCCACCATTGCTAAAAGCAACACCCGCTCTTCACTGAGAGAGCGCAAGAACAATGCACCTCGTTCACCGTCCCGCAAATTGTGTCTGTAAACTGTCGCATAGATTGCAGTTTTGATGGTCGGACGCAGCCACAGAATCAAACGGCCAGTTGCCTTCTGGTGCGAGTCAAACCTCTGCTTGCACAGCGACATTGACTGAACCCGGTCACCGCCCATGTCTTTGACGTACTGGTTGAACACTTTCCTCAGCACATCACTGCTCTGAATGGTTGCAGGCATTGAAGCGTTGCCCCAGATCAAGGCTTGAAACACATCCCAAATCTCAGCAGACGCTTTGAATGGACGGGAAATGACTCGCCGAGCCGCATGCGCCCGGTCCCGGCACACCTGTTTCACACCTGGGAACAGACCGTCATTGCAGGCCATGAGCCTACCTGCCAGCTGCTCATCTGCTGCAGCATCCATGTTCAGTAGAATGACCTTCTGTTGCAAAGCGGCCATTTGATCTTCATCCCCTTCAACAAATTGTGACAAGATGGCTCTTGTGCCCTGAACAAGCGACTCTGTCATGCTGTCTTGAAGATGGTGTATTCCCAGCAACCCACGCTTGACTTCCAGCTTGTCATTGCACGCCCGGAAACGTACCATCAGAACCAACCTACGTACATCTTGGTGGAGCACGATGCATGTGGATGAAAGAAGGAAAGCCGCATCAATGCGTTGGCAAGCGCCTCCCAAACAGTTCTGCAATCTGGCCAGCTTCCAACGGCCACCTACTGCCTTCATAGATCTCAGTGATCCAGCGGCTTGCCTTTTGGTGGCAAACTCTTCAAACTCTTTCTTCGGCGGCGCCCTGGAATCAACTCCGCCAGCTTGGCCAGCCAAACTCAATGCAAGCTTGTGCTGCTTGGAATCAGCATGCCGGCTCACAGTGTAGAAATTTCCGGGCCCATTGAAACCCGTCAGCCCAAAGGCAAGCTGTGGCACATGGCGGGAACAAAGCTTGCATAGAAGACCCCATTCACCATTTTTTTTTCAGTCAGCCAAGGCAGTTTTTTCATCCAAGTTCCGGCAAGGTCAAGAAAAGAGCATCTGAAGCACCCGCTATCTTCACACAGCTGGACATGGGTGAGGTGAGCTTTGACATCCAGCTTTTCCATTGCGTTCCCCCGCAACAGACACCACAATTAAGCAATAAAATTGAGTGTTGGGATCTGGCTTCACACGGCTTCTCTGTTTGGCTTGAGTCTGCTGCACTCTGTTTGATTGGTTTGATTGCTGTTTTAGATTTGTTCGATTTTGTTTGTTTGTTAATATGTTCAATGTGTCTGTTGTGTCCTCTTGTTGTATTCATGGCAGAACAACATGATCCCTGGAACTTTTGGGCCCGTACAAGCAAATTGGCTTTTTGCGTCACCCTGACTGACACATTGACATACTGTAAAGGATAAGTGTCACGGGGAAACATAAAACAGATCTTTCCGTCTTTCCCATTTTTTTGTTATCTCGACTCAACATGATCCGTGGCACCTGACTCTGTCCTCACCCCTTTGGCATCCTGACCCCCTTTGAGGTCCCTGGCATTGGGTTGAAACAGCTTCCTTCATGGACCTTGGCTCAAAGGCATTGGCAGTGATTAACCATCTTGAAATTGGCAGCGCACATATATTTTACATAGTGATGGGAGCAGTTTTGAAACTGGCTGGAAACATCTTGAAACTGCCTTGAAAGATCTTGAAACGACTAATCAGAGCAGCTTGCCTGTTTTTTGCCCCGCATCAACAAGTTAGAGACCCCGGCAACTGCAGTCACTGCAGATTGGCGCATTTCAGCGCTTGGCTCAACACCATGGAAAGCATCTTGACTGGGATTGCATTTCCGGCCATCAGACCTAGCTGCCGTGGCGACACTGATGACCACTTCACATCAGCTGGCGGCACATCCATAATTTTCAAGAGCTCGCAGGTTGTCATTTTGCGTTGCTTCCAGGTCAGCCAATGCCCACCACTGCCAGCGCGACAGTGGGTCAAGCAAGGCGAGTAGCCTTCATTGTAGTGAGGCTTGGACCCACCGATGTCGACCACAATGGGGCTTCGAAGTGGATCCTTTCCTTGGGATTTCAGCTGATCCAAAACAAGCAACAAGTTTCTCCTCTCAGATTCGCTGGATGGCAACCTGCCAGGAAACCCTGCCTCGCCTTCAGTGGCAGGATCTATGTAAGCATAGATGTCCTCCATGGCGACTTTCTTTGGCCAAATCATTGGGCGAGCCCCAGGGCCTGCACGAATGCCACAAAT